AAAAAAAAAAAAACCCTCCAGTTTCACCTCTGCATCAAGATACCAGATCAACCCAAAGACACATACACAGGGGCTCTATCTAAAGCAATGTTTTTCAAATCATTTTGATTGTAACCCACAGTAGGAAATACATTTTACATGACAACATAGTATGTATATGTGTATCTAACAAAAGTTTTACACACAAAAAATATTTTCATGTATGGATATATTCTAATGTTTGCTATTGTTTCATTTTATAGAAAAAGCTGGTTGGAACCATTTAACTCATTTCAAGACCCAAACTTGTGGACAATTTGAAAAACACAAGCCAAAGAGATATGAAGGCTATTTGTATTATCATACCATGTTCTAGTAGAGGCTAATATATTTATTTCATGGATGAATTGTGTCCCCCAAAAAACGTGTGTATCAATATGGCTGGGCCTTGATTCCCAGTATTGTGTGGTTGTCCTCCATTTTGTGATTCTAATTTTATGTTAAACAGGATTAGGGTGGGATTGTGACACCCTTACTAAGGTCATATCCCTGATCCAATGTAAAGGGAATTTCCCTGGGGTGTGGCCTGTGCCACCTTTTATCTTACAAGAGATGAAAGGGAAGGGAGCAGAGAGTGGGGGACCTCATACCACCAAGAAAGCAGTGCTGGGAGCACAGCACATCCTTTGGACCGGAGGTTCCCGCACTGAGATGCTCCCAGACAAAGGGAAGACTGATGCATCACAAGGACCTTCCTCCAGAGCCGACAGAGAAAGAAAGCCTTCCCCTGGAGCTAGCGCCCTGAATTTGGACTTCTAGCCTACTGGACTGTGAGAGAATAAACTTCTCTTTGTTAAAGCCACCTACTTTCTGTCACGGCAGGACTAGATGACGAACACAATGTATATATTTAAAAAACACACCAAACCTTAGCAAGGGAAAAAAAATAAGAAAAGAAAACCCTAGTACTGACATATATTGGCGGGATCTGCCATGAAGAGGATACTGTGATATTTCAGACACAACCACTGAAAAGCAAGCAAAGGAAAAGGACCCGTTATAGACTTAAAAACTTTTGTAAATTTCATACGATTGAACCAAAGCACTGCCCCCCCACCACCACAAAAAGACAAATGGGGAAAAAAACCATCCAACTTGAGATAAAAAATTAAGAGATTACACTTCTCATTTCTGTAATGGTGGAGGGAGAAGACTGAGGGAAAAAAGGAAGAAATTTTTATGTGCCAGTTTGACACATTCTCTTTGCATTTGATACTATGTTAAACTATAAATTTATAATGTAAATATATTAGTTATCCCTAAACTTTGGTTGAGCCTGGTGGCACAGTGGTTAAGAGCTACAACTGCTAACCAAAAGGTCAGCAGTTCGAATCTACCAGCCGCTCCTTGGAAACTCTATGGGGCAGTTCTACTCTGTCCTATATGGTCGCTATGAGTCAGAATCGACTCGACGGCAATGGGTTTGGTTTTGGTTAAACTCTGGTTAATTTATCCTCCCAGAAATAATCTAAAATATTTTTAACAAAGTTATTTAGTGAACATTTTTTATGACTGACAGCTGTGGCGACTTTTTACTTCACTTAAAATGTGTCCCTGCTTTCTAAATGATTACAGTGTAGTCTTCACTAGGGGCATATCTGAACAGCTCCACCATTGTGTGGATACAGACTAAACCCCTCAGGATAAACAATTATCTCGCATATATAAACCACTGTCACAAAGGAAGCATATGGCTACTTTAGCAAGAATGAATTACCAGCATGAAACAAACAAACCTCTTTATATACTTCAGAATGAACTTAAGTGACTACACCAGTTAAGCCATCTCTAACGAACTGTGAGGTGCTGAATTACTTAACAAAATATATGTCTTTCAGTGTGTTTGCTTATACTTTAATGCTTGCCACAAAGATTAAGTATTTCCAGTACCAGAGCAATTAAGGAGGTAGCAAAAAAGCAATTAACAACTGACAATATTATATATCCTGCTACTTAACAAAACCCATTTTTATATCAATTTGTGAAAGAGACTATACTATTTGTAAGTTATTTCAGGTTACAAAATGTCTGAAAAGAAATATATTTTGAATTTTTGAGGCAATATTCATAAAAATACACAAAAAAACTCAAGAAGAACAGACACTTTATTTTTAAGATAAAAGTTCTATTTTCTTGTGAGGCAGCAACAAGTGTCCAGGTACAGGGAATACATAAGTACATAGTAACAATATTTATCACCATTGGAAATGCTATTTTTGGGGGGAGAATTTTGTTAGAAAAACAAACTTTAAAAAAATTGCTTTTTAAAAAGATTTACACAGCTTCAACAGAGATGAAAGATGAAGAGTTTAAAAAAACACAAATTATATTCTTCAACAGGATTGTATAAACAAAATATCGTTCAGGGCCGCTCTGCTTATCATTAATTTAGGCAGAGTAAAACTTAAACCTTAAAGTGCGGAGTTAAATATTCTTAGCTTTATTTTGCAAATCCAGCACTTCCACTGGTCCAGTCTTGAGACATCAAAATTCCAAGCATTAAGGAATGAATCTTAAGTTTAGAATAGGAAAGTAAACTCAGTAGTGGCAATTTTTATTTCTTTTAGCAAAAGAAATAAAATCTTGACAACCTAGTCCTAATCTTGGCCATATAGAAGGTTACAAACTCTGCCGTTTTTTTATTCCTTCTTCCAGTAAAAGCCAACCATTAAAAAAAAAAATTTTTTTTTAAGGCCTTTCATGTTGCCAGTTACTCCACAGTTAGTAACAGTACCTTTTAAAAGGCTGATTTAACTTGTCATAAATATAAGATACACTTTGAACAAAATGAAGAAGCCAGGTCAAAATAATTTTGGCAACCATGTTCACCATATTAATCAGAGAGGTAAAATGGGTATTTTAAAAACATAATTGCTCACAAAAGCCATGACAAGTAATAGATTTAGTCATGACCAGAAACAGTAAATGTATATAAGTTTTATCCTCAAAAGGAAGAAACTGTCTAAGGTAGAAAATAAGATTGACAAAGTGAATAATAACCAGAGAATAGCTCCTCCTTTTGCTGAAGATACACGCCACCCATCTCTTTCACTGCAATGGAAGTAATCTAAATTTCTAAAAATTTGAAATTATATTCCCAATGAAGCTATTCTCATTTTTTTACCTTCTATACAGTTTTCTACAGAATAACACAGTAACTATGGGATGTAACTGTAGAAAACAGTATTACGCATTCTATTGAGAATAGACACCTGTGAACTAAGGGTTAAATAAAACAGCTGAATGGACCTATAGTTAATATTTTTTCAAGACTGCAATAAAGCTTATATGTTTGAAAATTAGCCCTTTGGCACTGGCAGTTAGGGTTGTTTGTACCTTGTACCTTACTTTTTCAAATCTCAGGCTCTATTTTTCCCAAACCTGAGGGATCCGTTTGGTTGTCATACAATTCATTTACTTGCAAATTCACTTTCTCCTTAGAACCAAATATTAGGCTAGAAGTTCTGTTTTTAAGATTATGTAAATAACGAGTCTTAAACTTGTTCTTCCATTACAACTTTAAATTACTTTAGGTTAAGGATATATGGAATGCCACAGAGGGTGTGAATTAGACAAACATGCACAACAGAGTAAAAGGGAAAAGCTGTTTACAAAGTGGCATTCTAGTTGTAAAATACCACTGTGACTTGCAGGGATGGAGACAGAAGATGAAGTATTAGGCAAGGAAAAGAGCACAGATGTAATAGAGTTCAGGTAATCCTAAAACTGAAGTTTCAGGGTTTTTTTTAACCTTGTTTTTAACTTTCTCCTCCACCATTCAGTTTACCTTCCCTTCTGCACTTCTGATAGAGCAGATGCTCAGTGGTGAAATGGCATAATCAAGAGGCATAATAACAGAGAAGGTAGAGAAAGTTCTCAAAAAACCACCAAACAGAAAATTGAGACCCCGAATAACTAAGCTTTTACTGTTTTAGAAGCCATAATATAAAGTCCCAAGTAAATTAGTTTTGGATGGAAAAGGCAGCAAAAATCACCCGACTTACCAACTAAAGCCTGACAAATTTATTCAAATGTTTGAATTTATCTGACTTACCTAAACATACCACCATTTTAAACTTACAGGGCACCTTTTAAAATGCTTAGGTGTTTTAAAGGTGCAATGAGTATAAGGTAGTCCTTTCAGAAGAATTTATTGCTACCACTAGGTTTTCCTCAATGAGCTATGTCTGGACAAAGTGATATACTGACTGTCAAAGCAGTTCTCCTTTTATAAGTATTTAAGACTTTATTCTGTCTACAATATGTATAGGAAAATTAAATTATTGCATCATAAGATAGTATATGAAGATCTCAGAAGGATGCTTTTTATCAACAGTTTCCTGAAACTCATTTTTTTTTAAAAAAAAGAGCTGCTCCTTAATGTCACCACCACATACCCAGAAACAAAATACCTGTTGTCATGGGATACTGGCAGTGATGTGTATTAGGATGAACCCAAATCCAAAATTGTATGAATTTTTCAGAGATGCCTGTTGTTTATGCTCCAAAGTTATCCTTGTCTGTTTTCCCCACTATGTGGAATGTCGGGGGGGAAGCTAGCAAAATCTGTAGGCAACAAATCTCAGTGCCAACCACCATAAAGAAAATGTCAGTCACAAGATTCTGTAGCTACGGATTGCTATTCAATGGATTACACTCCTGGCAAACTACTAACCCTGACCAAATCCACAGGACAACAACATCACAAAAGCGAAGGAGGGAATCCATGCACAGCCACTTTAGGATCTTTTGGGGCTATGATACAGTGATGGTTAAAGGTAGAATGGTATCTGTGGTAAAGGAGGGAGATCATGTGATATACATTTTGCAGAATACGAAAGGGGCTCCTTACTCCTAGCTAGCAATCAACACTGGGTAGTTTCATTTTGGATAAGTGACTTTAAAACCAAGTTCCAACGATGGGTGAGAACATATTAAAGCATTTGTCTCCGGACTATAATTTTTCTGACCACATGGTGAAATGTGTACGGGAGTAGTGAAGAAAACGTTAGTTTTACAAACATTTCATCCAAAGCACAAACTTCTGACATCAAAAAACATAAATCACGTAATGTACTAATATTGCTTTTTATCTCTTTTTATATATATTTGTCCAATGCATTTACCTATCAATTCTTGTTTGGGAGAAGAACATAGTCATGAGTTTAAGATTACTGGGAAAATGTCAACGATTAATCCCTTTGGTCCCAAAGCTGAAAACAGCTGAGAAAAGCACATATCTAGAAAGGGAAACAAGAAACAGAGGCCACCAAAGAATCTTTTGAACATCCTGTTTGCTACGTTTCAGAAAATGTAACATTGGTATTATAAAATAGTCATTTTCATATAAAAGATGGTTTTTGCAGCATCGTTCACGTCTCCTTTCAGGAATCATGTTTGCAGGGATCAGTTTTTTTTTTTTAAGTCTAGTTTGAAAACAAAAGCAATGAGATATCAGCCCTCCAAAAGTAAAGAATGAGACCTTTCTTGTTTCAATCAGTGTTTAAGAAAAAGCAGGCTAAGAACTGAGGGTTGGCCTTCATGAGCAGAGCAGAGCCATCAGAGAGGCTGCTTTCTTCTAGAAGTCTCACTGTCACGTCACTGTGGAAAGCTGGAGCACATTACTGCCAATTGGGAACACATGATGCCGTCAGAGTCAAGTGATCTGAGGAGGTTCTCGGTTTCCAGAACAATGGCCGCAAAGCGCTTGGACTTACCCTTCGGCTTCCTCAATTGGTTCTGGTGGTGGGAGTAGAGAGGCCGATGGCATGACTGTACTCGTTCCTCGAGAGACTCGGTCTTGCTCCGTGTTTGTAGACACGGAGGCCACAGCAATAGGCTGCAGCAGAGTGGTCGTCATGCCAGTGGTGACTGTCAGGCTGTGGCCAGAGCCCTTGAGGGTAAGATCTGGTGTGGGAAGGAGTGGCTTCAGGATGCTGACAAGGCAGAAAGCAGAGCCACTTTTAGGAATAAAATTCACCTTGTTCTTGTCAGGACAGTAAAAGGCTGGAATTTCATGAAGTTGTTTTGGCCTAGACACAGAATAGACAACACAACACTTTTAAGTCACTGAACACTGGAAATACTGTTATTTATTTATTTTTAAAACAGTTTAATTCATAGATACACAAATGGAATGTAAAACTTGGGCTATGTGTCAAAAGCTTCAATTGCCAAGGACCAAAGTGGTATTAGACATGTGATGCAAAACATGTATGTTGGAATGCTAGAAGGGAACTATTCATCGTTGCTGCTTCCAATTCCCTGGCAGGCCCCTTGTGCCCTATCGGTGGCTCAGGATGCCGCCAGCTGCTTTTCAATGTAGATCTAAGATAGCCAGTATAAATAATGAATTTCCTAACGCAAAAGAGAATGTAGATGTTTAGAGACAAAAATATGTTCTACCATCATGATTTTTTCCAAGGCTTGTACTATTCTGAGGGTAGATGGCACGGAAACTAATGATCTACAAAGTCTATCTTTTGCTAACTTCCTCCACTGCATGACTAAACTTTGATAAGCATGGATTTTCCTTCTAGGTTCTCCTAAAAATGTCTTTGATTGAAATAATTCTTTGAGTCAACCATGATGGTTTTCTAAGCAGCATAATGTAAATATGAAATAAAAATAAAAATAATGGCTGTCCTTTGCTTTGTAAGTTTTTATTGAAGCCAAATTCTTCTCTATTCCCAGGTGCTCCTGAAAATGAACCAAAATAGTTGAAAGGATACTGGTATCTACAGTATTGCATGAAAATAAAAATATTTTAAAAATTAAATTTTTAAAACTGTATGGATGTGCCACAAAATTCCAAATAAATTAAGGTGTGAGAACCTAAGTAAATCAAGACTCAGGTGGAAAAGGTCCTATGATCATATGATAGAAGTACAGTCTTAGCTCTTCCTACAACAATTCAGTTCAACAAAAATCTAAGTGAGCCAAATCTGCACTAGATTCTGAGAGCACAAAATGAAATATGAGCCCTGCCCTCGAGCGCATAATCTACAAGGGGGTAATGGACTAAATTTGTAGTTCTTGGGAGGGGGGACTGCTGGGGACAGAAATCTATTTCAGTATAATTTGTCTCCTTTGTAATCCTATATATTTTATTTGATGCATTTCAAAACATTATTCTGAGAAGGGATCCATAAGCTTCACCAGACTGCCAAAGGGGTCCACAGCACTGAAAGGTTAAGAACTGGGGGCAGAGCCAAGATGGAGGCTTAGTCACATGCACCACAGCGTCTCCCTGCACCAAAGACTGAAAAAACCAAGCAAAACAGAAGCAGGTAACAATCCAGGAAGCCTGAGCATCAAAAAAGGAAGTCTAAGGACTGAACCGAATACTGATTGAAAGAAATAAGGAAAGTAGTGAAAAAGGAGTAACATGGAATGGCAGAGCTCAGCAAGCCGTCCCAGCCCGTGGCGGCTAACTTAGGACAAAGCCAGCAGTGACCTTGGGTGAAGAAAACAGCAAGGCAACTTCATGACTTTACCAAAAGGGACAGACAACCTCTACACACACAGAAAGCAGCAGAGGCAGGGAGGGTGCCAGATCCAGAACCGGAAATACTCAGCAGCAGCGACCCTTGACCTCAGGTGCTGAGTGCATGCACGAGGCAGTGGACTCTCGGAGTGTTGGAGGAAGCTCTCCCACCCAACCAGTCCCTGGGTGGCATGCCCTCCTCACACTTGAGAGAGGATAGGTCCCTCTCGCTGGCTGCAGCAGACACAAGGTGCCCTGGCAATCGAGTATCTTAGCAGGAGGAACACACTCCCTCACACCTCATCCTCCTGATCTGAGGTGGCAGAGGGCTCCATACCCCGACTGCTTTGCCTGACTGGGGGACCACAACACGAGCGTATCCTCTTCCTTCCACCCCACTCAACCCCATCCACTACTCCCCGTTGCCCACCCGATGAGCGACACTAGGTGCATCCCCGTGTGTGTGCCCACCCGCCACCTATTCCCCCCAAGGGCCTGGTGGAGGGCAGCAGCAGCGGAATAGCGAGAGAGCTCGCCAACTGCTCCCTCCTCCTTCCCCCCATCTGGTGAAAGGTGGCGCTTCTGTGAGTGCAACCAGCAGGCATGACTCTCTCCCTTAAACCACCCAGCGAGGGGCAGAGGAACCGTGACTGTGCACACATCCCACCGCAGCCCCTTCCTTCCCCCGCCCCCACCAGCTGAGGCAAGGCAGCATCACTGTGCTTGCATTTGCCAGGGGTAACTCTCTCCCTTACCCAGCCCAGTGAGAGGCAGAGGAAACACAACCACGTGCGCATCCTCCAGCAGCTCCTTCCTCCCTCCCCTTGCCTGATGCGAGGAAGCACCTCTGTGTGTTTACCTGCTAGACGTGATTCCATGCCTTAACTGACCCAGCTAGGGGCAAAAGAGCCTCAACTGTGCACACATCCCCTGCCCCCCAGTCCCTTCCTCCCTCTCCTCACCTGAACTGAGGCGCTACCACTGTGCGCAGAGCGACTCTACCCCTTAACCTGCCTAGCCAGGGGCAGAGAAAACACCTTTATGTATGCGACCCTCCACAGCCCCTTCTTTTTTCCCCCTTGACTGATGCGAGGTAACACCACTGTGTGTGCATTTGCCAGGATGGAATCCATCCTTTATCCAGCCTAGCAAGGGGCAGAGGAGCTATGATTATGTGCACATCCCCCCTGAAGCCCTTTCTTCCCTCCCCTTGCCTAGCTCAGGGCAGAAGAAGAGTAAGTGTGCATACCCACCCATAACACCTTCCTCCCTCTTCCCACCACCTACAGACAGATGCAGAGGGACTGAGTGAACATCCTTCTGCTGTTCCTTCCTCTCTCTCCTTGCCCAGGAGGAGGTGGAGGTAGAGCGACGCTGTGAATGCCTCTCCGCTGCCCCACTACAACTGTCTCACAACCAGGGATAAGAGAGGAGCATGCCCCTACTCACCCACTACATCGGCCTTTCCACCTGCACAGAGAGCGTTGTTCCCTGCTCCTGAGCCACCAAAATGAAGACAGACAGAGGCCAAAGCCAAGTCAACCCACCCTCAGCTGCCCCGCAAGATCAGTGAACAGAGATCCGAATTCCACAACCACCCACCACTCCACCTGCCCAAAGACAGGTATGGAGGGCTCCAGCATGGCCAGTCCAGTGATCAGAGCACCACTCCAGCCACATCTACCAGGAATGACCAAAAAAAAACAGGACCCAGTAAACAATTCTACAAATAAAAAATAAATATAATAATAACCCCTAATGTCCTGGAGACGACAATAGCAAACCACCTAAAGAAGCAGGGCAAGATGGTCCCAGCAAGTAACCATAATAAATAACTAGAGAGTCTCCCTGAGGAAGAAAAGGTAATGGAGCTTCCTGATAAGGAATTCAAAAGGGTTATGTATAGGGTCCTCAAAGGAATTGAGGAAAATGTAAACAAAACTATGGGGAACACAGATAAAACATTAGAAAAATTCAGGAAAACAATACAAAATGACAAGATAGACAATTGGAAATAATACAGAAGTAGCAATTAGAAATCCAGAAGCTTAACAATAAAATGGCAGAAATTGACAACTCAACGGAAAGTCTTAAGAGTAGAATTGAAACAATGGAAGACAAAATCAGTGGAATAGAAGAGCAATCCCTTGACACAAATCTGTTTGGGGAGCAATAAAAAAAGAATGAAGAAAAGTGAAGAAAGCCTAAGGGTTATGTGAGACATCATTAAGAGGAATAACTAACGCATCATTGGAATCCCTGAAGGAGTCAACGAAAAGCAGAGAGAATTGTGGAAGATATGTTGACAGAAAACTTCCCTAATATCATGAAAGATGATAAGATAACCATACAAGAAGCACAACGAACCCCATACAGGATAGATCTCAACAGAAGAACACCAAGACATATGATAATAAAACCTTCCAAAACCAAAGACCAAGAGAAAATGCCGAAAGCAGCTCAGGAAAAACGAAAGATTACCTATAAAGGGGCATCAATAAGACTAAGTTCTGATTACTCGGCAGAAACCTTGCAGACAAGAAGGCAATTGGGATAATAGATATAAAACCTTGAAAGAAAAAAGCTGCCAGTCAAGAATTATATAACCAGCAAAATTATCCCTCATATATGATGGTGAAATTAAGACATTTCCAGATACACAGAAATTAAAGGAATTTGTAAAAACTAGACCAACTTAACAAGAAATATTATAGGAAGTCCTTAAGACAGAAAGTGAGCAACTTGAGATTAAAACACCTGACAGCATCAGACAGATATCAACCCAGATCAAGAACTCTCAAAAATAAAATAAAGCTAAAAGATGGAAAACCGGGAACCAGAGATGTTAA